GGAAAAGCCACTCCATTTGTCCTGTGTCTCTGAAGAATGACACCAATGACATTATGGAGGATCCACTACATGGTGAACTTTCCTTCAATGCTGCAACATATTTGGTTCCATTTCATCCTCAAATACATTTTGAAATATTATTCTGTTTTAGAACAAAAGTCTCAAAGATGGCAAGTGACCTAATACTGCACGGTCTTTAAATCAGATTTGTGCTTCCTTCCTGTACATCACAGGTACCTCAGTCTGTCACTAAATTATATTAAGCTGTGTTCATTTGATTCTTCATAATGCTAAACATAAATTCTTTGTTTTGAGAAATGTTGTGATTTTGAGTTTTGCAAACAAGCACAACAAACAAAAGTGAGACTACCACCTTCAATCTTTTGAAAGATAATAGGTAGGAGGGAGACCCTGCTAATAAGGTGCTAATAAGGTGCTTCTCCAGCTAGGAAGGAAGCTGGTGAAGATCTCCTCCCAGGAAGTAATTAATTTCTATTGGCACTCCAGGCAGTACCAAGTTGGAAAGCGCCAGGAAAAGCTGTGGGCTCTTTTTTTCCTCTGCTTTCAGAAGGGATTTTGCAAAAGCTTTTATTTTCTCTGTCACTTAGAGTTGGCTAGTTAGGGTCTTCGCTTGTGGCCAGGAGGCCAGACCCGAACATATATAAATGAAATGAAAGCAGATGGACAGTCCAAAAGAAAAATAAGTGTGCAGATTATCATTATTGATGAGCCCAATGATTAAGTAATCTAAAAAAAAGAACTAAGAAGAACAAAGAGCATATCTTAGAGGAGAATAAGAACTTTAAATTATGCCATTTAGAAAACCAAAGATATTAGGCTTCAGACCCAGGGAAAGGAAAGTCTGAGACATAAAGAAGCCTGGGACACAGGGCTTAGGTTCTGCTCCTGGTTGTATACTTTTGGGTAAACACAGACCCGACCCTGTCCTCTTCATGTACAGAAGGAGGGATGTCAAATGGCCATCCAAGTGTACAGGCCTTTCTGGTGAGGGCATACAATTAACCAGAAGCTTAACTAACCCCTTCTCACTACCTGGTAAAATAGCTAATGTCCAAAAATTGAACCCCTGGTACTACAGAAGTGGAGAAATGAAGGCAGAATGACAAAAGAATGTACAATCTAAATTTGCAGTTAATTTTATTGAACCTCCAGGTCTGGCACAGTTCTGGCATACAGCAGGCACTCAGTAAATGATGAAATGATGGTGGATAGACTGATGGAAGGTTAGGCCTGCCCCTGTGGTGGTTAAGGATGTGAGACGAATGAGTCCTGTGGTTGATTCCTGATCCACACAGTTAACAGGCCTCAGTTTCTCCCTGTGAAGTAGAGGATACATCTTAGCTTACTGGGAGGATTTAATGAGAAAATGCCTTGCACATAAGAACACACAATAAACCTCAGCTACTATTAGTACTGATGCTGTGATCTTGTCCTCCACTCAAAAGAGTTCTCAGGAACAGGTAGGATCCTAAAGTTAGAAGCCTGCAGATAAGGGAATCTGTTAGGCCTCTAGGGTTTCTGTCAGACGCTGCACCTTCTCCCAATCCTGTCCACAGGTACCCTTTTTGCTGGGAACCTTGATGAGGCCTAGCACTCAAAAGTGAGAATCCAAGTTACATAGCTCTGAGAGCCCCAAATTTCAGCCTCATTTACACTGGAAAGACCCATCCAGGCCTGCCCACTACTGGTGGGAGTGCCCTAGCCTAGTTGCCTGGCAGGTGGGAACACTGTTGCTGTTGTTCCTCCTGCTGGCAGGGAGGGAAGTGGTGGCTGAGGTGTGAGCCCACCACTAACTGAGACTTGACAGCCCATTTGCATGCATTTAAGGACTCGGTACATTGGTACATCGGAAAACTTCAGGTCACAGACTGTAGCTCCCTTTCACAGGATCTGGGGAAAGATAGATCTTTCTAGTAACAGACAGGGTAGAGGGGTGGATAGACAGGTTTCTGTCTACAAATGGCTGTTTCTGATTTCAGAGAACCTGCCATGGTCAGATCTCTCTTGGGTTTTTCCTCTTAACAGTGATCATGTCTCTTCCCTTTGTTTAGCTAAAATTGATGCAGCAAAAATATTAGTGAGAGTGTGAAGCTATAGCATATAAACACATTTTTATGAAGTCTGCTTCTAGTGAGCTGCAAAAAGATGCACGACTTAGAAAACATTGAGAAGCTGATACCTTTTGCAGGTGAGGTTGCAATGGTCATTGGGCAAGGGAGGAGGAGATGGTAAGCTGTCCAGTCATCAAGACTTCATTGATGCTGTATTTTTTTTTTCAGTTGAAAAGCAGCCTAATCTCGGCTTAAACCCAACCCTACCCCCCCACCCCAACCCCCACCCCGAACCCCTGCCTCCCGCAAGAGGCCTGGGAGACATCAGAAACAAGACAAATGAAGAACTTCCACCGCCTGCCTGGGGTTCAAAAAGCCGAATTTCCGGCAGGCAAGGCAGTTCCAATGAGGACAAAAAAAAAAGTTTACTTAATGGCATAATATCGAGGCTTAAAAATTAGGACTTATCGGAGGTAAAATAACAGTCTTCAAGAAACTATGGCCACTGTCCACTCCTTCATTTTCAAATTGCCAGAATAGCTGCGATCTTGAACAACCAACACCGATTCCTGCCTCTTACCGTTCTCACCACTTTTCTTTAAGTGATTGTCTTTACTAAGGCAGCCAAAAATTTAACCCCACTGGGAGCGGAGGGTGGGGGTGGCGGGGATAGTGGGTAGGGTTGGGGAGGGACAAAAAAACCCCGTCAAAATCAGCAAGGCCTCTCCCAAAATGTGCGGATGAGGCTATACAATCTGCACACGATTTCTGCAAGGGTTCTCGATGGAGCCGCGAGGCTGTTCTCTGTGCTTTGGTCTCCAGGCCCGAGACAGTCTAGGTGTTATAAAGTCGGCTTAGTGACCACCGGAGACGGAAACCGCTAATTGACAAATCCTCTTTGATCTCCCGGCCATTTGGCCCCTGACACAGAGGCTCTGGCATAGGCGCTTTCCCAGAATTTGAACCACAGGAGCGCGTCCAGCGCCTGTGGGCGCGACGTGGGGCCCCAGTGACCGTGAGCCACGGTCTGGATCAGACATTCACATTTTTTTGCCACTGTACTCCCTGGCTTTTAGGAAGTAGGAACTGATACTGCCGCTTGTCGCTGTGCTGCTAGAAGCTAAAAAGCACTCATGTAGAGAAGTGTCTGATTAGATTCGGCAACTCTAGCCCAGCGCTTTTCTTTAAATCTGGGGGGTGGCCTGGGGGAATAATTTACAATGTCCATGTCCACTGCCTTCCCCACCTTTCTCTTTCCATTCGTCTTTTTTTTTTTTTTTTTTTTTTTTGCTAGGACTATAATGTGATTTGCAATCTTAGATGAATGAACAAAAGTGGAGCGCTGGGGACAGATCGCTGGGGACAGATCGCTGGGGACAGATGCGGAGTGAGAGCAAAACACCGGTGTGGGGGATAATAGGCAGCCGGCCTCCTCCCCGCCTGGTCTCCACCGCCCCTTCGTAGTCCACGTAAGATGAATGTCCCTTCATCCGTCATCTTCAGCAAACGGCCTCCCCCTAGGCAAGCAGAGAATCTAATGAAACCTATTAGCTAGCTCCGAACTGAGCACCTTTGTGAAGCCAACCGAGGGTCTCCATTGTGCCCTTTTTCCGTGGAATTTAATCATTTACCTCCGCGTAAGAGCGGAACTCAGCGCAGGTCTGGACACCGCGTGCCCAGCTCCGCGCCGCCAGCGCATCAGCAGCTCCCTCCCGCGGCGGTCCCTGGACCACCCTCGCGGATGCCCCGGGGTCACGCTGCGGGCGCACGAGCAGGAACGTCGCACCTGGTCCACGTGTGCGACTCTCTTAGTCCCCGCAGAGCCGCTGAGCTTTAAGAGACAGCTGCGAACACTTCGGCTGGTACTGTGTGACCGGGACTCCAAGGAAACACACTTGACATGAATCCTGCTTTCCTGGCGGACGTTGGGGCCTCGGGGTTTTTCATGCTGACGGTTGGAAGGCGCGCGCTCAACGGCCACTGGGGGCCTTGGAGCGCAGAGGGGCCTCGGGTTCGGATCGACGGCGCTGGGGGACTGGACGCGCGGGTAGCAACCCCATCCCCACCCCCCGCGTGTCCCCAGAAAGCACGAGGGATCCTGGGCATTTAAAGGTAGGCAGAGAGGTCCGTTTGGGCTAGACTCCTCGGGCTTTCTGTGTGCGCACTTGGCAGAGGAAATGCAAACTCTGTAGTAAGCCGAGGTCTCCGGGTGTCACCCCTTTAGAGGGAGGTGGTCCTACTCAAAAATCTTGCCCCAGAGGACTTTCCATCTGAAAAGATCGTGGAGTTCCTGGAACGCGCTCCAGTCGGGACAGGTGCAGAACCTTTGGCGCGGCCACGCTTTCGATCTAATCCCCTAAACTGGCCGCTTAAAGACCGGAGAGCTTGGGTCTCCAGTGAAGGCGGATCCCGCGACTAGGGGGTGGGGGCATCACCGTGCAGAACCCTGGCTTCCAAAAGCCCAGGCTCCCGCGGCCTCCCCTCTGAGAGTGAGCTGAACGCCGGGGCCCAATCAGTGCGTTCTCCGACCGGTGACAGTGTTCGGCCCGCCCCCTCCACGACTATAAAAGTTGGTGCGAAGTCTGCATTGGGTATTCCGCGTGCAATCCCGCGCCCCCGCACGGACCCCAGGTGCGCTCCTTCGCCTGCTCGTCTGAGTGCGGGTCTCTGTGGCCCGCAGTCACTAGCTCCTCATTCTCTTTGGTCCCCAACACGGGGTGACTGCGCCAGTCTGCAGGCTTCCCCCTCCTCCCTTCTTTTTCTCCCTCCCGCCTCAGCAGCCGCCGCACCCCGCTTCGCCGACCCGCAGGTGAGCAGCACTGCAGCGCCGCTGTCCGGCGAACTCACCTTGCACTGCCCAGGTCTGGCTGGGGCGGTGGCGGCACAGCTGCCCCCACCCCACCCTCTTAAATCGCTCTTCCCTGCAGGATGAAGAATTCGATGCTGGAGGTGGTGTCCCTGCTGCTGGAGAAGTTGCTCCTCATCTCCAACTTAAGGCTCTTCAGTTCGAGCGCTCTGGGTGAAGACAAAGGGAGGAACAGTTTTTATGAGGTCAACTCTTTCCTTCGCGGCGACGTGCTGGAGGTGCCCCGGACCCACCTGACTCACTATGGTATCTACCTGGGTGACAACCGTGTCGCCCACCTAATGCCTGACATCTTGTTGGTGCTGACCAACGACAAGGGACGCACTCAGAAGGTGGTCTCCAACAAGCGTCTCCTCCTGGGCGTCATCGTCAAGGTGGCCAGCGTCCGCGTGGACACAGTAGAGGACTTCGCCTATGGAGCCAACATCCTCGTCAATCATCTGGATGAGTCCCTCAAGAAGAAGGCGCTGCTCAATGAGGAGGTGGCCGAGAGAGCTGAGAAGCTGCTGGGCCTTACCTCCTATAGTCTACTATGGAACAACTGCGAGCACTTTGTGACCTACTGTAGATACGGCACCCCGCTCAGCCCCCAGGCGGAAAAGGTAGGACGGGATGCGGAGGGAAGGTGACCCCGGTGGCAGTCTCCTCTCCTCCCTGACCTTTTCTTGTCCCTAGGAACAGAGATCTTCCTGGATACCTCCCCCACCACTTCCACGCCATTCTTGAGTTCTAGATTATGTAAGGAAAGCTCTAGTTTCTAAGGGAGGCCGGGTAAATAAAAACAATGCGCCTCGCAGGTTAGAAATCTTCAGCCAAAGGGCGTGGCCATGCAGGATGCTTTCAGTGATTCCAGAGTCCTGTCCAGTTATTGCTGCAGAATCTCCACGTACTACGTGGTTCAAATGACAAAGGGCAGGTGACTGATGGTCACAGGCAATCTGCCAGTGTGCTCAAAACTTCTCCCCAAAGAACTGCCATTCGAAGACAGGTGTCCATTGTTTTTATCTATTTTTTATTTATTTATTTATTTTTTCGGTACTGGGGCTTGAACTCAGGGCCTTCACCTTGAGCCACTCCATCAGTCCAATTTTTCATGATAGAGTTTTTGAGATATAGTCTCGCGAACTATTTGCCCCGGCTGGCTTCGAACTTCGATCCTCCTGCTCTCTGCCTTCTGAGTAGCTAGGATTACAGGCTGAGCCACCGGCACCCGGCTCCATTGTTTTTTATTTGATCCATAACATTAGCAACACATTGTGTGCCTTTAAGGAAGTGTGCAGTTTTCTCCCTCTGTAAGTTTCATGGGTGAATTCCCTTTGCTTAATATAAACTGTCAAAATTCCTAGTAACAGGACATCCCTGGTAGGTCTCTTATTCCTGTGTCTGCTTCAGATAGGTTTTTTCGTTGTGATTTCTTTGTGTTGGCTTTGATCCCCATCTAACTTCCTCTTTGCTAAGCATCCAGGTGAGTGACCCATTAGCCCCAAAGGTAGGCTAGATTGCTTATAAAATTCCAGAGATCAAAACAATTGATCCACAAGAAGAGCCCTTAAGTGAAGAAACTAATATGGATACTGTGGGGGATAAAAAGCAGTAGTAAAATTTAACATTCTTAAATAAGCCACACATTCAAAGGGGGAGGAGGATGTGTTATTTCCTGTTGAAACCTCTTAACTTTGAAAGACAAGTAACATTTTAAGCCTGCAACTTCATTTGCAGTTGCAAGCGCTCAGCCCTCCTGGGAGTAGTTACAGGAATATTGTAAGTATTCACTCTTCTTCATGGAAACTTAGTCAATCGCACAATCAGCTTTAGTGTTATTCTTCATATTTAGTTTTTTTGGACTAAAAGAACCTGAGTCTATATAACCATGCTCTACATCTTAGGTTTTAATTGCTCTACATCTTGATTAATTTTTTTTTTACCTAAATGGGAAAAATCTCCAAGGCAGAGGTTGAAACTATTATGCTTTTATATATCAGCATATGAAACTTATTGTAGATTTTTTTATGCAGCCCAAACAGACTCAATCTAGGAATTCCTTTTCAAGCAAAATAAAAATACAGTTAGAGCACTGTGGAATGATTCAAGAATCATAGCTCCAATCCAGGCCCGTTTAGAAAGAAACCTCCCCACACTTAACAAACACCAGCTCTGAAAGTACACAAAGGAAACACATCAGATTTACTTAAGAACCAAGCAAATCATTTCTCTAAGGAAAAAACAGTCTTTCTGTCTGATAATTAGGAGTTATCCTTTCATGGAACACATATACCACTGTATTTCTACAGAAAAACATTATAAGCACTTTTGAAAGGTAGCAAAATATTTAATCTGCATAAAGAACTAGTTTCTCATCTTTGGAAACTTGTCAGGTTTTACAGCAGGGAAGAAGTGTTTTAATTACTGTTGCTGCACAGCACCTCTTATGAAACTGAGTTTTTGTCTTCTCTTTGAATGGTCTAAACAAACAGTTTGGCACCAGACTAGATTTTTTTCCCAGGGAAAAAAGTCCTTATCCCAAATTAAAAATGTAAAAACTGTTTTTTTTTAACATGTCCTGCAGGGAAGCAGGTCATTTAATTGTGAAAGATTCTACTTTTTAGAAGCCTAAGGAATTATTGGATTCTGGTCTAATTGTTGAGGTGATAGTATTCACAGCTATCATCATCTTAACATGACCATGGCAAAGTCATCTCTTACTTAAGGTCCAGTTTATAAAAACTCTCAAGAATGCTCTCCCTCAGGAAAACATTGCAGTTAGTTTGAAATTGCAATTAGCCTAGAGCTTTTTTTTATGCTAATGCTATTTTTTTACAAGTTTAGAAATCATAAAATTAAGGGATTTTTAAATCGACAGCAATATTTTGTAAATAACAAATTCCTTTAATAAATAACTATTACTATTCCTGATGCTTTTTCTATTACCCCCCCACCCCCTTCGGACTTTGGTAATACTGCTTTTTCATTGCTAAAATGAAGCAAATGCCTCTTTATTTTCAGAGGATTCAGTGTTCACAAAAGTGTCTACAGGCTTCTTGACACTTTCTGGAAATTTCATTCTCTTGAGCATCTCCTGAGATGCCTCCTGGCCTGATGGCCTAGTAAACAGGGAAGGAACATTAAAATATGATGCTCCTTGAAGAAACCTGCTCTGGGGGAAAGAGTCCACAGTGATTATCAGTTTGCCTGCATTACAAAATTATTGGAAAAAGATAAACGAGCATAACCATATCAAGACAACTTACTTACTCCAGTAGATGTCCTCCATTCTTTACCAAGATACTTTTCTCACTGTTCTGATAGCTGCATTCAGTTTCATTATCACTACCTTAAGTCCAGGTACTATTTGCCTGAGCTGGCTTCGACCTGTGATCTTCCTGATCTCTGCCGCCTGCGTAGCTAGGATTACAAGTGTGAGCTGCTGGCATACGTCCAGGTACTTACTCAATGTCTTGTCAGTTTAGTAGAAAGAGACAAATTGGATACTTGTGACATAAATAGACTAACATTGGATGATTAACAAGATGTTTCATGATTGTTTAAATGTTTAATACATAAAAGTACAAATAGTGATGATTGTACATTAAAATGTACATTAATTCATGCTGAGAAATGTACTATAGGTTCTGTCATCCTTGTGGAAACATTGTAGCATGTACCACTCCAGCACTGTCATCTTAAGGGACTACCACTGAATGTGTGGTCAGGCCTTGTCTGAAACATCATTATTCAGCACATGACTGTTTTGAACTTGTTTATTCTACCCATTAAAAGACCTGTCCCCCCCCCGCAAAAAAAAAAAGAGAGAGAGAGAGAGAGAATTGGAAAACCTAGCTGTTCAGTCCTCGTATAAGCCACTGAAGGAGACCCTAAAATCATACATGGTGCCATGTTCTAGAAAAGGAGCTTAAATTTAGTATGAATAGCAAAACTCATGAAAATGATAATTGTTAAATTTTGGCAGTGACAATGAAATGGTGAGGTAGAGATAATTAAGCAATATCTTACATTTATATGGTGTAGAAGAATGGAAAATACTCTTTTTCTTTTTGCATAGTTCTAATTTGATTCTCACAGCTACCTGGGTATTCCTATGAAGGAGAAGAGGGTAATATGGAGAGGTTAAGTGACTTACTTGAGGTCACACAGTCAATAAGGTAGAATCAGGACATTCAAACATAGGCCAATAATTTCCAAGTAAAATTATTTTTTGTATGTTTGGCACTGGGGGATTTGAACTCAGGGCTTTGCACTTGATAAGCAGGTGCTCTACCACATAAGCACCTGCTTTTGATTGTTTTTGAGATAGGGTCTTGAGTTTATAGACCAGCCAGCTTGAACCAGGATTCTCCTATTTAGGCTTACTGAGGAGCTGCTAGACAGATGCATGCTACCCCACCCAACTTTTTATTGATTGTGATGGGGATCTCAGGAACTTTTTTCAGGGGCTGGCTTTGAACTTCTATCCTCCCAATCCTTGTCTCCAAAATAGCTATGATTACAGATATAAACTATTGCACCTAGCTGTAAAATTATTTTTCTAAGAAAAAAAAATTACTCATATTAGAAGGATGCCTTCCTCAGGGGTGGGGATCATATTTAATTTTTTTTATTTTCAGCTGATTATGTGTCATATATGGATTAGGAATTTAATTTACTTGGGCAGGGAATGGGAGATAACAACACAATGAGACTGATTCTCTGCCTTTAGATTTTTAGACTTACAAAAACATTATTATTGATATCACCAAATTTAAGGATGGTGAATAATTGAATTCACCAACAGGCTACATTCTGGGGTTTTTTTCTTTACTCCAGACTAGAGACCTTTCTTATATTAATTTAAAAATATGCTATCAGTATTCAGTAGCCAGATGTTTTTAGCCCTTAATGCTGAGCAACTCTTATGTGGTTACATTCTATAGTTATCTATTAAATTCTGTATTTACAAAGGCAACTACTGCCTTTTCTCAATCTAGTGCCTAAAGCCTCACTCCAGCTTCTGTGGGATACAGACTCAAGAATCTGGACTTCTATTTTTTCATAAAATAACAGGAACTTCTAGTTCTCCTGGTAGACAGAAATTAGCTGGGACCTCCTTTCCTTTTTGGTATGTGTGATTCTCTTAGGTTTAGCCACCTTTCTTAATATTCTTAACTTTTATTTTCTAGTTTTGTGAGATTGTGAAGATTATCATTCGTGATCAGAGAAGTGTCCTTGCTTCTGCACTCTTGGGACTGGCATCCATTGTCTGCATGGGTCTGATGTCATACGCCACCCTTCCTGCGATTTTCATCCCATTCTTCTTATGGATGGCTGGCTAGCCTCACATCCCCCGGTGATGTGTAGGTATTCTGTGTGTAAATAAGTTTATATTTATAGAGCACAAATCACTATAAGCATTGTTGAGAAGTGACCGAAACACTGTGTTCTGATAAAAATGTGATTAAGAATCACACAAAGTGCTTGCTGTGTAAGCCAAGAACAAAGGCTATCTGAATCTCCTCAGGCAGTTATGTTACAAAAAAACAAAACAAAAAAACCTGCCATCCAAACCTTGGAAACATGACAGCTTGTGATAGAATTCATCAGCACAAGAAAACAAGATCAAAATGATGACCGTGGGAGATTATTTGTCTTATGCTTTTCTCCGGTAATCATTCTTCTGTTAGACCTGAATTTGAAGATTGGAAGATCTCTTAACTGAGATCACTAACTTTTTTGCACATTTATTCTGTTTATAAAACTGAAAGAATTTTCCTCCTTCATATGAAAACATGTTTGATGATTAGCCAAAAAGAAACATTGGACAAAATTCACATTCTGGTTCTTTTTTTTTTTTTTTCATTTATTATATGTGATCCCAAGTAAATGAAGAATATTGTATTTTCATTGACTTGAACATTTTATTTTCATGATTTGGCAAAATTAAGGTTTAATGAAAAGGTAACTGACTGTAAAGTATAGAAATCTGTGTCATCCTGCAGAAATGTCTACTATAGCCAATAGCTATTTATATTTGAACAATGTCATTGGTTTTACTTATAAGGAACCCTGAGAGTTATTACTTTTCCCCTTTCTGTGCCTCTGTGGCCACTTTCAAACCCTTTGAGAGGTAAATGAATATAACACTAATATAATTCCAGTATTTGGTGAATGTGTGTGTCAAATAAATACACAGACACATATACATAAATTGAAAGACATGTTTTTTACAGTCTGTATTTTTATTTGCATATAATTGTTGTACAGGGGGATATTTTGTGATATTTACATATGTGCTCACAATATATCTTAGTTAGATTTAACCCCTCCACATTTCTTTCTTGATTATTTTATTATACTGGTGTGGTTGTTACAGTTTATCTGGAGAGGTGACTATAAATGCAAACCTAATCCCAATTTTCTTGGGTTCTCAAATCTGTAGATATATGTCATTGGACAGGTTATCTTTGAAAACATTTACTAATGTACTACATAATTTTCTTAAACCCTCAGATTTGTTTTTTGGTCAGTCTTCTCCATTTCACTTCACTCCATAGAAGTATCCCACAAATACAACCCAAATAGGTAGGGCTAAAAGAAATTACCCTCTGATATAATTTTAGTATTGCAAGGCATGTGAGTTGATTTCACTAAGACCACTATAATATCTGAGTTGAGATGTAGCAGTGTTAAAACAAACCTTCAGGTACTTTTGCAAAAAATCACTAAATTCTAAAAATGAAGCCACAAGCTAGATTTGCATTTCAATTACTAGTATTGCTTTATTAGCCTGGCATGGTGATGTGTGCCTATAATCTCAGCACTAGGGAGGCTGAGGCAGGAGAACTGTGACTTCAAGGTCAACCTGGGCTACATAGTGAAACAATGTCTGAAAAAAAATTGCTTTATTAATCCCAAAACAATGAACCGTATTGTGAACTGTCAATCAGTGGTGATCCAATGGGAAAAAAATTAAAGAGATTTTATTTATTTATTTATTTATTTTTGCAGACTTTATCTTAACTGAGGTTTGTCACTAGCTGTCCTACAAGTTCAGTTGGAGTGTAATAATTAAACTTTGTGTTTAATTATTTAAATGTTTTAAATAACTAAAACATTAAATGGCAACACCAAAAAGTATAGATGTTCTATGTGCCTATTCCAACCACTTTAAATTATCTTAAGTATCTATGCATAAAAGCAACCACTATAAAAAGTGTTGTATTAGTGGTTTTTTACTTCTTACCCTTGTAGCAATTGTTTAAATAAATTCTTATGTTAAAAATATAATGTCCTCATAAATAACTTACACCTTTTTTTACAGACTTTAGTATTACAGGCGGCTATACCACTGTTTGAAATTAAATCTGTGTTCAAAGATAAAGATCCCTCATTAAATGCCAAAGAGGTTATTAGGATTAAAATTAACATCATGAGTCTTCATTCACTTCATGTCATTAAGGCAAGAGTCAATGTCATCATTCATTGGGAGGCTTACTACCTGCTAAGCCCTCACCTGCTGCAATTTCATGATCTAGAATCAATATTATTATTTTTTTAACTAGTCACAATAGCAAGTGTATAGATAAGTGCTGTGGGAATATGAAGGAAGAAGCAAGTAAGTGAGCCTGAAGTGTCAGAGACATCTTCAAATAAGAAAGAAGCCATGCAGGTGTGAAGCTGAGAAGTAGTATAAAGTGATCTTACCACACTGATTTTTTTTCAACTGCCTGAGGGAAGAGGAGCAGGAAGGAAGGTTTTTATCTGTTAAGTGTTCTACAACCCCAGAATTGCTGGACTTCCTTAGGAAAAAGCGAGGGTTTTATCAGTTGCTTAACAAGGTAGAAAGAGAAGCAATCTTCCTGAGTGTGGTTATGGAAGAAACCCAGAGCCAGTCATTTGTCATTTGTCTCCTAACTTGAAGCAGTCCATGAATTTCTGTGGGCTTCATCAGTCAAGGCTCATCGTAATGATCCAAGTCTCTTATATTTCTATATTTCTATTGTAGCTTGTGAAATGATAACTAAGTAGTGTCTGATGAACTTTCTCATTGCTTATTTTGTTCTTTGCCATAGGTGAAGGCCAAAGGTACCAGGGGGGCAAAGATGAATTAATGCAAGTGTCAGGTACTAGGCAGGTGTTAGGAATGAAAAGATGCATGAGGCATGGACCTCTTCCTTGAAGTGCATGTCCTATTAGACACAAGTGTATTAAGACTTTCCGCGATGACCATCAGAAGAGATCTAATTGAAGACATGGAAAGAGAAGGAGCTGGTTTTAACTGATGAGGCCAAAATTATAGGGACTGTGTACTAAGACTTGAAGGATGGGTGTTTATTTCCAGGGGACAAACTTTGAGCAGGACAATCTACATATGGAAAAAATGCATGGAAACTGCCCCTCCCTCCAACATGCAAGGTGCATAGCTTCTACAGAAAGCATGAAACTGCAAAGGGCATTTGGGCAAATGCAAGTGATTCAAAGGCCAGAGCAGAGCAAGGGTGCTGAGTAGAGACATCGGGAAAGGAAAAACAATGGTCAAGTGGTGCAAGGGCAAGTTCTTGTGCAGACCCAGAAGTTTGGACTATATGAACAGGCCACAGGGATGTGGGGTACAGAAAGGTAATTCCCAAAAATGTGACAGAAGGATGAAGGCTTGGGGAAGGCTGGACAAAGACTAAGAAATTTAGCCAAGGTTCTCATCTTTCAAATAAGAGTCAAGGAAGCGTCAACAGACTTTAGCCAAATGCTGTCATTTGACTCATGACTAACTCTTGATGCATGTTAGGGAAGAGTCACATACCCTTCTTTCCTGCAAAAACAGTTGATTCCTGCAAAATAAATGAACTTCATGGTGATTTGTGTATATATTAGATTCTCCTAGGCTTTGTGAAATATGCTAGACAAGTAAGTATGGATTTGTTGTTTAAAACTTTTTTTACAATATATAGTTCCTATTTTCTCATTTTTTATTTCATATTGTTGCTGTCAAAGATCAAAAATGTTTTCCAGAAACATCAAGTTACAGCAATGGCAAAAGTGTTCTGAGGCAGAAGAGAAGCATATGGTAAATGGTGGTCAATCTTTGTTTTATATGATCTATACAGAGAGTTTTACAGTCTAGAATCCTCCAGCTAAACTAATTTTACATTTGACATTCATGCATGCTGAATAAAATCATTTCTGCCTGTAGTTCTCTGTTGCCTTTGAATTTGAAATGCATAGAAGTAGTTCACAAATACTGTTTTTGAGCATAATAGACTGAAGAATTCTACTGCTCCAAGCTTCTTTTATAATAGCTATACATATTTGAAATTAAAACTTTATGTGGATCTGTTTTCAGACTAATATGATCTAACATCTTGAAGCCTACTTTGGTTACACAGGAATATTAAACAACAAATCCCTTCTCAATTCTACAAATTAAGCAGTAACAACTAATCAGACTATAATGCTATCAAAGCAACCTAAAGCTGAATGCTGGCATGGGAACTGGGTCCTAGTGGGAACAAGCTACAGGGCCTGGCTAGACATACATTTACAGTGAAGAACCACAGAGGTTACTGGACCAAACTCAAACACCAACCATATTTACAGATGCAAAAAGTCAGGCATGGAGGGGGTGAAGGGCTTCAGAGCCAGGACCAGAACATGGCTCCTGATTTCTTTCCAACTGTACCATGTAGCTCCCTGATTCTCCCAGGAATTGGACCGTCCTCCAAAGGATGGATTAATTTCTTGCACTCCTGGGTATTCTAAGCAAGGCCACATGAGGACAAACTGGTTAGAATCTCAGTCCTGTAGCTGCTTAGTCTTAGGAGAAAGAAAGACAGCAAATAGATTTTTAAACATTGATAAACTTGAACAGATGTCAGAAGATCCAAGATCAGAACTTTACCTGTCTGCTGGGGCCACTGAAGGAGAGGGACATTCAAGAATGTCATTACCCTGAATACTGCCTAGGTAACCTAGCTGAATTTCTATCCTAACTTAGTGTGGTTTGAGGATAGGACACCTATAGGCTAGAAGTTCCCCTGCAGGTGGGCTCACCAAAACTGGCTGGATCTGCCTCTAATTGGGCAGATCTGGCACTGGTGCGGCTCCAAAAAGGCATCTGTTGTTTGCTACCAGGGACAGCACTGCAGAGCAGGATGGGTCTTCAGTGCCCAGCAGGGTGGCTCCAAGCAGCCCTGAGCTTGCAACTGCAGCCACCCCCTAGTGCATCCCAGCCCTCACTCTTTACCTGCTCCCTAGAGAAGAAAGGCCTGGTGGGAGTCCAACCAGCCCTTGACAGTACTCAGAAGCTCCAAAGTAGCCCTGCTAAGTGTCAACACCTAAG